TCTTAAAGTCGTTTGAGGACCTTTTCCTCAGGGGTCTTATGGGCTTGGGAGGAGCCCCTGCCTCCTTTCTTTTACCCGTTCCATCTATATGAAGATAAGTCAAAGGTCCTGCTCGTGTATGAGTGTATTACCTGCATGTATGTAAATGCACCTGTATTGAGCAGTGCCCACAGAGATCAGAAGATGGTGCCTGGAACTGAAATTACAGATGGTTGTTAGCTGCCATGTGAGTGGTGGGAACCAAACCCAGGTCCTCTGCAAGAGCAGTCAGTGCTCTTAACCACTGAGCCATCTCTCCAGCCTCTCTACTTTCAACTTCTAAAAGCTCAACATTTGTACATTCTAATAATGAGTAACAAATTACTGTATTTGACTTTCTGTGTCTGACTTATTTAATCTTTAGTTCCATCCATGTTGCTGGAGATGACAGAATTCCATTATTTTTAGTAGTTGACTACTATTCCATTGTGTGTGTTTATATATATATATGTTTTTTATGCATTCATCTGTTAATGGACACTGAAATTTTATTTCATGGCAGTTATTGAGAATTTTGCAGTGAACGTATATACCGTAAGTGCAGGTCTTTGACATACTGATTTCATTTTTTGGATATATACCCAGGATTGTTGGATCATATGGCATGTCTATTTTTAGTTTTTTGAGTAATCCCCACACTGCTTTTAATAATGGCAATACAATTTACATTCCCTTTGAAAGAGTCCATGGATTCCTTTTCCCTACATCTTTACCAGCACTTGTTCCTTGTTCTTTTGTCTTTTGATGATTGCCATTCTTATAGGTGCAAAGTGATATCTCATTGTGGTTGGGTTTTAATTTCCCTGATGATGAATGCTGTTGAGCATTTTTCATAAATCTGTTTACCATTTGTCTTTTTTATTTTTTAAATTAAATTTTTTTTTTGAGTTTCTATGCCTTTCATAAATAGTTCTTACTTAAATTTAGACCCCCTCACCCATCCTTGCCCCACAGCCCACCATCCTGACTGGACCTCATGCATTCTGTCATATACGTTAAGACCTATCCAGAAAAGCATTTGTACCCAAATATCTTTAAGTGCAAGATTATGCACTGGAGCCTAGTGAGCCTGTCTGGTCTCTGTAGCTCCAGCTGGCCTGAAACTCACTATTGTAGACCAGGCTGGTCTCATATGCCAGCATGCCTGACTTATTGTCTTCTTTTGAAGAATATACACTGTCCGTTTAAAAATCTGATTATTTATGGGTTTTTGTGATTGAATTTTGAGTTTTTTTTCTATTCTGGATATTAAACCTGTGTGAGATACTTAGTGTGCAATTATTTCCTCCCATTCTGTATGTAGGTTGTGTCTTCATAATGTTGATCACTTCCTTTCTGTGTAACATTTCATGTTTTCTTTTATCTGGAATTTATTTTGGCAAATGGTATAAGGATTCACTACTAATTTTTAAAAAAGAAAATTGTCATAGCTCCATGTGATGCTTGTGATGCCAGTATAATCCTGTGTTTAAGTTATTTAAATTGGTCTAGGCTCTGTTTTTATGGTGGTGTTTTCTCTCCCTATTTCATATGTTTATAATCAGTATTTTAATGGCTTTGGTATTTTGTTCAGGATTTCCCTTCACTGTTTTCTTATATATAATTTCTAGATAGAATCCTTTGTCACGTGTCAGGAAAAATAATCATATTGGAATTTTTTATTGTATTGTCTGAATCTACAGCAGTGGTGTCAGGATGCATAAGACCCATGCAAACTCAAGCAGACAAAACTCCAGGACAGAACTGTGGAAATGGGCAGCAGGCCGCAATCTTAGTTGAAGAATTATTGGCAGCTGATTACTGCTGAGTGAGGAAGAGCTGATCTTCTTAAAGGGAGGGATTCTAGATGGGCTGACTAGAACCCAGTGGATGAACTTGCACTGAGGGATGTCTTGGGACACTAACTTTACACAATAGTCCTTAACACAAATGAAAAGAGTGTATGAATTCCAGTGGCAGGGGGCTACAGGAGGGTACTAATAGGGAAGGGGGTATAAAGATGGTTAAGATTGACTAAGATGTTCTGTATGAAATACACAAAAATTCAATAAAAAATTTACAAAAATATGTGAAACATTAACAACCAGAAAGAATTTAATATTTCTATCCAGAAACACATCTTTGTCAAGACTAGAAAAAATGTTTGTTCTTATGTTTTGCATATTTTAAAACTTACTCCAAGATATTTTATTTTAAATTTTTTGATTTATTTATCTTTATTTTATGTGTACTAGTGTTTTGCCTGCAGCTATGTTTTGCAAAGCCTGTGGAAGCCAGAGGAGGGTGTCAGAGCCCCAGGAACTGGAGTTACAGATGGCTGTTAACTGCCACGTGGGTGTTGGAAATAGAACCTGGGTCCTCTGAAAGAGCAGCCAGTGCTCTTAACTGCTGAGCTATCTCTTCAGCCCCCTAATATGTAGGTTGTGTCTTCATGGAACTTTTTTCATTGTGTGTATGTATTTGTGTATACACATATATATGGAGGCCAGATGTTGTCAGGTGTCCTCAATTGCTGTTGTTCTATTTTTATTTTCAATTAAAATTGCTTATTACATTTCTATTTATCTTATTTTGCTTGTGTGCAGTGCGTGCGTGCATGCTTGTGTGTGTGTGCACATGCGTGTGCCATGGTGGGCTGGCCCCACCAAGTTTTTTTGAAATGGGTCTCTCACTGAATCTTGAGCTCACCTATTAGACTAGGCTGACTGACCAGCTAGCTCCAGGACCCTCCTGTCTTCTCCCCAGTGCTGAGATTATAGGCAGGCACTTCATGCGTGACTTTTTATGTGAGTCTGGAGACCGGAACTCAGGTCCTTATACTTGCATGACAAAAGCATTTTACTGATAGAGCTGTCTTTCCAGCCCCTGGGGAAAGTAAAAAAAAAAAAAAAAAACCACTTTACTGTATTTTCTATTCAGTATTTGGGGAAAGTTATATTAATGTTCTGTGTTTGGTCTACAGTTATTGACTTGATATCATTATATATTTTCATTGGGACAGAGATTTCTAGTTTGAAAGCTAGGAGTCTACTATCCACTAAATTCATACTTTCAGAAAATTTGGAGTATAGATTGGCTGATTCCATGATTAAGGACCGGCTGTTTCTGTTGTATTCCTCATTGTTTTATGTCCCAAGGGCCAGGCATCCAGAATGCATCCAATAAAAGTGTCCTGAATGAGTGTGTATATTCATTTTATGGAAGGGTTTACATTTTGTGATTGTTCTTTGTAAATAAGTTGAATTTACCTGGTATTGTAAAATTAGAGTTATCTTCTGTAGCTGCCAGTATCTTGCCACTGTTCCTCAACATGTCAGTATGAGTTGTCCTAGCTGGAGTTCATGCTGGTTGATGTGGCATGCACTCAGATTTCTTGGTGCCAGGTACTGGTTATTAAATGTTTGAAGACTGCTTTCATATGTTGTGATTAGTATAGTGTACTAAATTATTTTTGATTCAGTGAGCAGTTTGGTAGAAATAGGTTTCCCAAGAAATGTCAGGTTCCTGCAGTATTACTCATGTCATTTGTATTTACAATAATTTTATATGTTGTTATGACAATAGCACTGGTATTTTCTGCATTTGCTCTTCTAAAATTATTTGTTCAATAAGAAATAGGCGTTCATGGCACAAAATTTAAGGTGCTCAAAGTATCCTAAAATCACTCCCTGATTTTTTTCCCCCTGAGGAGGCAATCAGTGTTCAGTTTTCTGTGTTTTTCTTAGCCTTACAGAGGTGTACTTATGATTATGTGTACACATTTATACTGAAATTGTAGCTTCTTTTTAAACACTGTGTTTTAATTTAATCACTTAAAACAGGGTCTCAGAGATCTTTTCATGTTAAATGGTGCTACCTCTTTCTTTTTAGTGACTTCACTGTATTTCCTTATAGAGTTAGGTACATCTGATTTTATTAACCAATAACTTTTAATTTCCTGGTGGTTTACTTTAAAATGTTTTCTACTTAATAAAATGCAATTTATATATCTAACATCATTACCTGAGTGCATCTATAATAGAAATTTCTGTTTAAGAGTTTTACAATGTAGACACCAGTTTCTTCAACAACACTTACATATGAGTACCTGTTTCCCCAAATCCTTGCCCATAGTACATTTTATTTTATATGTTAGTAAGGATTTATAATTTGCCTAACACTTGCAATATTTTATTGTAGTTTTAATAGTCATTAATTATGTGAGCAAAATTGAGGTTTTGTTCATCTCTTGGTACCATTTGCAGTCATTTCAGTTTTTAAAACTTTCTTTTAGGGAGTTGTTTGTACTTAGGATATGAATTATGAATGGTTTTCCCTAGTAAATTATATTTTGATTTTATGTTTTCTTTTTTTTTTTTTGTTTATGCAACTTAAATCTTTTCCCCCTTTAAATTGCTGATGAGTAAACTCTGGGTCTTATGCTAGCTGAGTACTCTATGCCTATAGACCCTGCTCTAGGTCTATAGACCCTGCTTAGAATTTTAATTAATATTAGTTACTTTTATTAGTAATAAGTTCAGAAGTGTAAATAAAATCTTTCTTTTCTTTATTTGGAGACAAGGTCTCTTGAAGCTTAGGCTCTCCTTGAACTCACTATGTAGCCATGGATGACTGTGAACGCTTTATCTTTCTACCTCTTTCTCAAGTGCTGGGATTATTATAGGTGTGTACCACCAGGCCTGACCCAAACAGGTTAATTAGAAAAACTTTCACCTTTTGAGTTTATAAAACATTTTCCCATTATTTCAGTCATTAGTGGCTTACCTATGCTATCCACTCTATTTGTTTTGTTGAAAATGTTTTTTTTTAGAGCTTCAAAAAAATTCAACCTTTTGCCGTTGGAAGGTAGGGGAGAATCTGAGTGGATAGTCATTGCTAATTTACAGTTTAGGAACAAGCAACAGTGACATTGGAAGCAGTGTGGATGCCTTAGATATGTTTTGTTGTTTTTCTCTTGGAAGCTGGTAGGAGGACAGTTTGATTTGGAGATGAACTTCATTATCCAAGAAGGCGAGAGCATCATCTGCATGGTGGAGCTGCTGGAGAAGTGTGACATTACTTGCCAAGCAGAAGTCTGGAGCATGTTTACGGCCATTCTGAAGAAGAGCATACGAAACCTTCAAGTCTCTACCGAAGTGGGCCTTGTGGAAAAAGTACTTGGGAAAATTGAAAAAGTTGACAGTATGATTGCAGGTATGACTTTAAAAAAAAGTTTATTATTTTTATTTTATCTGCTGAGCCATGTCTCTATCCCCAACTTTAAAAAATTAAAAAAATTATTTATTATTATTATTTTATGTGTATGCGTGTATTGCCTGCATGTAGGTAAGTGCACCCGTGTCGTTCAATGCCCACAGAGGTCAGAAGAGGCTGTCGGATCCCGTGGGACTGGAGTTACGGACAGTTGTTAACTGCTATGTGGGTACTGGGAATCGAATCCAGGTCCTCTGCAAGAGCAGCTAGTGCTCTTAAACACTAAGCCATCTCTCCAGCCCCCTCATCTTAATCTTAATTATCTTTATACCCCCTTCCCCATTAGTACCCTCCTGTATCCCCATTCTCCACCCTCCAGAATTCATATGGGTCTTTTCATTTGTATTAAGGCCTCTTGTGTCAAGTTAATGTTCCCAGATATCCCTCAGTGCAAGTTCATCCACTGGGTTCTAGTCAGCCCATCTAAAATCCCTCCCTTTAAGAAGATCAGCTCTTCCTCACTCAGCAGTAATCAGCTGCCAATAATTCTTCAACTAAGCTTGGGGCCTGCTGCCCATTTCCACAGTTTTGTCCTGGAGTTTTGTCTGCTTGAGTTTGCATGGGTCTTGTACACACTGACACCATTGCTGTAGGTTCATTTGAGGAGCCTGTAGGACTCTATTTGCATATGGTCATGGACCTCCTCCCTGGCTCTTACAATCTTTCCAACTCCTCTTTGGCAATGGTCCCTGAGTCCTGGGTGGGTGGATTTTAATATAGGAGTCCTGTTCAAGGACCCACCAACTTTTTTTAAAAATAGAAATGTATATGAGTGTTGGGCGTGGTGGTGCACATCTTTAATCCCAGCATTTGGGAGGCAGAGGCAGGCAGATCTTTGTGAGTTCAAGGCCAGCCTGGTCTATATAGGTAATTCCAGGCCTACAGGAAGACCCTGTCTCAAAAAGATCTCCCCTCCCCCCCAAAAACCCAAAGAGATGTATATGAGGAAATAGTTTGATTCTTAAATATCATGTTTTTAAAGATTTCATTTAGTAACATTTATTTTAACAAATACTTGATTACATAACATGTGCCTATTTTTTTTTAAAAAGGATTAATTTTTATTATTTATTACTTTTAATTATGTGTATGTGTGTGGCTGTGTACATGTGAATGCAGGTATATGAGGAGTCCAGTGGTGTGAGATCCCCTGGAGCTGGATTTATAGGCAATTGTGAGCCACCTGTCATGGGGACAACTGAATTCTGCAAGAGTAATATGTGCTCTTAATCCCTGAGGCTTCTCTCCAGTCCTATAGCATGTATCTATGCCTTTGGTAGCCAAACTCTTTTTTTGTTTTTGTGACAGGGTCTTCCTGTAGTCCCAGCTGGCCTGGAACTAGCTATGTAGACCAGGCTGGCCTTGAACTCATGGAGATCTGCTAGGACTAAAGGCATGTACCACCACGCCTGGTGGTATCCAAATTCTTAAGTGTGCATGTATATTTTAACTCTATTTCTAGAAATCTGAATAGCTTACCTCTTGCATTGTTTGTTTTTTCTCAGATCTTCTGGTTGATATGCTGGGAGTGCTGGCCAGTTATAATTTGACAGTTCGGGAACTAAAGCTTTTCTTCAGTAAACTTCAAGGAGATAAAGGACAATGGGTAAAAAAACACAAATGTAAACAAAAGAAAACATCCCAAACCCTAAATACTGGCATATTTGAAAGTAACCCCTCCCAAGCATAGTAGTAGCTTATAAAGTGACTGATACTCTTCTGCATGGAGTAAATGTCAAATTGAGGGAAAGAGCTCAATCAAAATAACATTTTGCTCTGCATGGCTACTGTTGTTATAGGCGTCCTAGGTGGGCTACTGATTTGACCCTTGTTTCAATTACTGTTTTTAAACTATCCAAAGTTTCTTGGAGTTGCAAACATGTTAGGAAGTAGCACTTACCTTTTCTTCTGTGGATTTGAATAGTAATAGCCCTTAAATTTGAATAACATATTCAATGACCAGAATCTTTGTGACTATTTAGACATCCTCTTTAGATGCAATTTGGTGGTACTTTGCAGTAGGTGGTATTTTGTAGTAGGTCGTGGTAAACTTACTTTGAATCCTAGGTAATTTATCAAAAGCTTTTATTTTTGCAATTTACTTAGTTGTTTCTTATAGGAATACCAGTAAATGCTTTCTCTGTTTATCTAGACTTAATGACTTTTTAGAGGTCATTTTACTATAGTTCAGCCAGTTGGCCTATAATTTTGTTCTAATAGGTTTAATCTATATTTGTGCAATTCATCATGTTAAAATTTAGATTCTTTACCTTTTATGTTTTAAATTCCAGCTCTGTGGCTGCTTATCAAAATTTTTAAGTTTTTTTATTTATTTATTTTTATTTTATGTTTACAAGTGTTTTGCCTGAATGTGTGTAAGTGTACCATATGCATGCAATGCATGTCAGTGCATGGAAGCCAGAGGAGGGCATTGGTTCACCAGGAACTGGAGTTAAGGACGATTTTAGCCACCATGTAGGTACTGGGAACTGAACGAGGTTCCTCTGGAAGAGCAGTAGATGCTCTTAACCACTGAGCCGTCTCTCTAGCCCTGGCTTTTCATATTTTTATTATTGATTTTCACTGAATTTGAGTATGGTCCTGGGTGTGGTTTATCCTGTTTTATCACTGTTAGTGTTTTTTTCCCCTTTGTGACTTTGCAATTTTTACTAGATTTGGAAATACTTAAAAAAATAGTTTGGAAATATTACTTTCTTCTTTTATTTCTTGTCTAAGACCCTAAACTTCAGGTAAATTAGTCTCTTTTAAAATTTAAATGTAAGAGCCCGGCGTGGTGGCACACACCTTTAATCCCAGCACTTGGGAGGCAGAGGCAGGTGGATCTTTGTGAGTTCGAGGCCAGCCTGTTCTACATAGTGAGTTCTAGGACAGCTGGGGCTACAGGGAGACCCTGTCTCAAAAAGATTAAAAAAGATTTTTTAATGTAATTTTATTTACTTTTGTGAGACAGGGTCTTCCTGTAGCCTCATCTGGCCTGGAACTTACTATGTAGACCAGACTGGCCTCCATCTCACAGAGATCTGTCTGCCTATGCCTCTGGAGTGCTGGGATTAAAGGTGTGTGCCACCACACCTGGCACTAATGTTTTTTAAAAAATATATTTTTAGAGTTAATTTATTTATTTTATTTTTATGTGTTATTAGTATTTTGCTTGTATAAATGTATGTGTATCATGTGTGTGCCTGGTGCCTGCAGAGGCCAGAAGAAGGTGTTGGATCTCTTGGAACCAGAGTTAAGGACAGTTGTTAGCTGCCATGTGGGAACTGGGAATTGAACCCAGGTTCTCTGGAAGAGCAGCAAGGGCTGTTAGAGCCATCTCTCCTGCCCCAGTGGTAAACTAATCTTACTAAATTAAAAGTATATATTTTAATTTTTTATGTGTATGAGTGATTTGCCCATATGTATATATGTATAGAAGTGTATTACCTGTGTGCAGTGCCTGAAGAAACCAGAAGAGGGTATTGGATCACCTGGAATTGGAGTTACAGACAATGTGACATTCAATGTACAGACAATGTAGACATCATGTGGATGTTGGGAACTGAACCCAGGTCGTCTATAAGAGCAGCCAATGCTCTTAACCACTGAGCCATCACTCCAACCCCAAAAGTATTTTAATGGGGAGAGAGCTGCTTTTTTTGGTCTTATTATTGAAGCCTGGCTCCAGTAAGGTCCCTCCATAAAACTCAGTCTCAAATGTGGGGCAAGAAATTATTTGTAGCTCTCTACTAGGTCAGAGATTCCTTTGACTTACTGTTGTCTGTATCTTGGTCTCATGCTGTTAAGGTCTATTTTAGCCACTTTGTTACTGAGGCAGATTTTTGGAGCATTTTCTCTGTACAGTTTCTTCATCTCTATCACTCAAGTCTTTAACCTCAGTATGCATTAGACCGGCTACTCAAGTTTTTCTCTCTGCTACTCAGTGATACATTCAGGTTCTATTTGATCTCCTCTTTGTGTATTGATAAGGAAGTTGACTCCAGAAAATTCCTTTTGTTAGTCTTAGTTTCTGAGAGATCACAGGTTTCTTAAAAAAAAAAATTTGTATCTATGTGTATGTATGTATGTCTGTATATGTGTAAGGCATGTGAATGTGGGGGCCCTTGGAAGTCAGAAGAGGGCTTCAGATCCTCTGGAGTTGTCATTACTCATGGTTGTAACTGCCTGACATGGGTTCTGGGCACTGAACTCAGTTTCTCCTGTAGAGCAGCAGGAGTTTTAATGGCTAAGCCATCTTTTCAACCCTGAGAGCACAGTCTTAACCTACCTCTTACTCCATGTCTGAAAAATATTTTTATTGCATACATTTTTTTGTAGTTTTTATACTTGTTTGTGGTACATTTTTAAGTTAGGTCTTATATATGTTATGTTAAGGAGAGGCAGTGTACTTGTTTGATTTGGATTTGGTTTATATTTAAATTTTTTTACACTATGTAGTTCATACTGTATTTTTGAAATATAGAAAATTACTTAAAAGAAACTAGCAAAGGTTATGAACAGATATTTATTTATAGACATGAAAGTGCCATAAATACTAGTTACTGGAGATATTTATATTAAAACAATATTGATATGTCACCCTTTTATCTATAGTATCATGGATTTAAAGTTGGATGATGACAAGTCTAATTAGATAACTAGGGCTGTTTTAAACCTTATGTATATTTGGTTGGATTGAACATTAGTGGAGTTGAAGTGAAGAATGTAGTGCTATTTAGTCACATAAAATATATTTGTATCCATTGAATGAATAATTCTCTTCTAAGTACTGAGAAATTGTTCCAAAAGGAAATCGATATGAGGGTGCCCACCTAAGCATTATTTTTTAAAATAATATTTAAAAATTATTTTAATTTATTTGAAAATTTTGTAAATGTATACAATGTATTTTGATCTTATCTATCCCCCCCCCCACTCCTGTCATCTCCTCCGGGACTCTAATTTTGAGAACAGTGAATTGTCAGCATAGGTGTTTGCCATGAGAATAGACACGTAAAATACATTGGATACACAGAATAGATTATTTTTGAACATATTTAAAATTTATCTTTAATAATTTCATGCATGTATGTCTTAGATCATATTCACTCCTCACTCTTTGTTATCCAGAATAGAAATTATATAGCAGTTAGAACCACTGCATAGAGATTAGGAATATATGCAAAAAACATAGGAGGAAAGTAATAAATGAGTGCTCTATCTGACAAGTCATTTGAATGCTAAGAGCAAACAAAACTTTTACATTTATGTAATTAACTTTGTATTGTTCATGTGTGTGTATGGCATGCATGTTACCATGTGCTTGTGTAGGTCAGAGAACAGTTTGTAGGAGTTGGTTCTCTTCTTCCACCTTGTGAGTATCAGGAATGAAACTCAGGTTGTCAGGCTTAGCAGCAGGCACTGTTATCTGCTGAGCTGTCTTTCTGGCTCACAAAACCTTTTTAAAAAAAAAAAACATTTTGCTTATTAATTTTTAATGTATGAGTATATTGCCTGCATGTGTATAAGTGCACTCGTGCTGTGCAATGCCTGTGGAGGTCAGAAGAGGGTGTTGGATCCCCTGGAAATGGAGTTATGGCTGGTTGTTAGCTGCCATGTGGGTACTGGGAACCAAACCCTTGTCCTCTGCAAGAGCAGCCAGTGCTCTTAACTGCTGAGCCATCTTTCCAGCCTCCCATAAAAACAGAATAAAAAGATTAAATGTGGTATTATAGCTGCTTATGGCAAAGAGGGCAATCAGAATAGGTTTGGAAGATAGAGACAAAATAGCAATGTAGTAATAAACAAAAGGGCTGAAACATTTCATTCCATTTATTTAACTCTATTATCAGATATTGAGGCTGTTTCTGCCTTTGGCTTTGATAGTAGTAGAGTGAAAAAAATCTCTCTAAGTCTATACTTGAATTTCTTATTTTTACATGTGGAATGAATATATCAATGAACATGAATATTTTTAAAGATTCTTGAAATACAACAATTACTTTTTTCTTGAAGGTTTTCTAATGTACTCTCTCACACCAGTGTGGGAGGAAGTATCTTACTGTGTCCTTACTGATTCATTTATAGGAAAGGGAATTTGGAGGAATGGCTTTTATAGGTGGAAATGCTATACAGTTCTAAATATTTGCTCCTGCAGAGTTGTTTTTGGTAACTTTATTTCACATTGGACTATACTGAGGCAATCAATGTGATTGTAGTTACTTGTTAGGTGTACCATATTTCTATAATTAGGCAGTGTAGTTGATTGGAAATTTCTTTATTAAGAATGAAGCTTTCCATTTAAGAGTTAGATAAAAGATTACTAAATTTCTTCATAGTAGCAGTAAGTTAGAACAGTGAACAAAATAAGTGAATAAAACCAATGATTTCAGATAGAGTTTGACCCTGTTTTGAGTGGATGTCCTCTATTTTACCGTATTTCCTTGTAAACTGATTAAAATGATAATGTGGATCTGATTGTTTTTTACTTTTCCTTATAAATATAATAAATAAGATTTTCATTTTACTTTTTGATTGTTTTATATAATAAAGATTTGTGGGCCAAAGAAAAATTAAAATATAGATATAATATAACCTTTATACATATTGTGCATTTGAGGCAGATTATAGAATGAACCATGGTAGGGAAGTTTAACACTTTCTCTGAGTTCAGGAAAGACTGCCCCGAGGAAGTGGACATTAAGATGAGCTCTGAAGGATTTGCAGGATTTCCTTGGTTTACAGGAGAGTGGAATAGGCCTAGTGACACATTTTAAGCAGAAGGAATAGCTTGTACTCAGGCCATGCTGTGAAAGTAATTCTATGAGAAGGCATTGTGGATAGGATCGAGGATGCATGAAGGTCAAAATGAAGTTGGGGCTGGGCATGGTGGTACACACCTTTATTTCTACCACTCCAGAGGGAGAGGCAGGCAGATCTCTGAGATCAAGACCGGTCTAGTCTACATAGAGAGTTCTAGGTCAGCTGGGGCTACAGGGAGACCCTGTTTCATTAAATAAATAAATAAATAAATAAATAAATAAATAAATAAATAAATAAATAAATATAAATAAATCAAAGTTGGAGATACATTTTCTAGACTGTGTTTAAAGTTGATCTCTATTAAAGGCAGTGGGAAGCTACATGGGGTGGGAGGGTAGGGGAAGGAGAGAATGAGAATATGAGAATATAGAGTAACAGGTGAAAGTATTATGGTTAGAACCCTGGCCTTTGGAGTTAGATGGAGTTCTGATCCTGACCCTGTCAGTAACTGTGTTACCACAGCATGCTCCTCTGCCTCATGGTCTCACTCTGTAAAATTGGCAGAACAATGGGAGCACCCCATGGGTTGGTTATGGAGTTAAAATATTACAGTGTATTTAAAGTACCTTTAGCATTGGAATACAAGTAAGAATTATTTAAGTATTTGTTAAAGAATATTTTATAGTCGGATGGGTGGTGAGTTGATGTGGTTTATAATATTTAAAAAGCATTTTTTGATGAAGTGTTTGACATTTAACATTAGTTCATATTTACCGAACAACTAATATGTCCTGTAGTAGTGTAAAAATAGCAACTCCCTATTTCTTTATGATACTTGAAAATGCTTGTATATTCTTGTATATGCCTTTTAGCTTATATTATTTAGTTATTTTTGTGTGTCTTAAAGAATGACGTATTAAAACATGTATTTTTGTTTCATGAGTAGAGTGTAATTAATAAGTTGTTCATTGTTTCCTAGCCTCCACATGCTGGGAAATTGCTGTCTGTGTTAAAGCATATGCCTCAGAAGTATGGTCCTGATGCCTTTTTTAACTTCCCAGGAAAGAGTGCTGCAGTAAGTAAATATTCATGAGGCAGTACCTCAGACCTCTGCTTTCCATTGCTTCCTGAAAGTGCAGCCCTGCAAATAGTCTGGCAGGTTCTGTTTTACGTAGATGCATCACCAACTTACTGCCTAGAATACATGTGCATGCTACTTTCCCCCAGCTGTTTAGAGGTGAAGAAATATATGTTTAAAGCAGTTGAGAAAGCAGCCTGCTCTAAGCTTGGTTCAGCAGTTGAATAACAGCCTTTCTTTTGTATGTAGCTGTGCTGGTCTGAATTTATTCTTAACCTTAAATAGCTGTTTGCATGTAACACTTTGACTTTCTGTTTTTCTGAGCAACTTTTTCTAGCCTTAAATATACTTACCCTTACTTCTTTTGCACCTGGTATATAAAATGAGAGTGACTCTTTGAAACTTAGGCAAATTTACCTGCTTTGTAAAAGAATTCTTTTTAAAAAATATTTTTTTATTATTTCTATTTTATGTGTATGAGTGTTATGCCTGCGTGTAGGTAAGTGCACCCATGTTATGCAATGCCCACGGAGGACAGAAGAAACTGTCGAATCCCCTGGAACTGGAGTTACCGATGTGTTAGCTGCCATGTGGGTACTGGGATACGAACTTGGGTCTTCTGCAAGAACAGTTGGTGTTCTTAACCACTGAGCCATCACTCCTATATAAATTTTTTGAAATATGGTCATGCTGTGTAGGTTGAGGCTAATTAACATCAAGCTCTCATTGTAGCCCAGACTAGCATCAAACTCCTGCCTGGGTCTCTTGAGTGCTTGGTTTACAGGTGTCTGCCACCACACCTGGCCACAACTGTGTTTTTTATAGTACTGGTGACTGAACCTATGATCTGGAACATGGTAGGCAAGCACTCTACCACTAAGCTACATCTCTAGCTCTTTTATCATGCTTATTAATTATTTCATAAATTAGACCACTATGTATGGTTGTATTACCTATAATATTTCAAAGTACGTATATATTGTGTATGTTATTTATGAAAGCTTTTAAAAATATCGTAACATTAGTCTGTAATCACATTTTTTAGAAGCTACTTCAGTCTGTTCTTTTTCTAGGCTAATCTTTCTTTCATTTATTGTTTTGGTAATCATAAAATCTTGTTTGCTTGTTATGTTCTATGTAGCTAGGCAGTATCTCCCCCAAAATAAATTTGTAGTGTTTATGCCTATAATCTCAGCACACTGGAGGTGGCAGGAGGAAGGTCAGGAGTTCCAGGTCATCCTTGGTCACATAATGAATTTGAGGCCATTCTGGGCTGCCCGAGGCCCTGTCTCAACAAAAAAACAAAACAAAACAAAACAAAACAAAACACATTTGTGATGTATTTTTTGAGGGGGTTTTCTTATTTTGTTTTGCTTCTGTCTGATGTTGCCCAGGCTAGCCTTGAAATTGGCCATCCTTCTGCCTTAGTCTCCTTTGTGGCAGAATTTATAGGCATCTTTTTCCTCACCCAGCTCATTTGAGAGATTTGGATATTAAATATAAGCACACAACTTTCTTTGAAAACTTTCATTGCTTTTCCCTTTTCAGGTTTCCTTAAGAAGCATCTTGCAGGGCTGGAGAGATGGCTCAACGGTTATAAACACTGGTTGCTCTTTCAGAAGACCCGGGTTTGAATCCCAGTACCCACATGGCAGCTAACAACCGTCCTAACTCCAGTTCCAGGGGATCTGACAGCCTCTTCTGTCCTCTGCGGGCACTGCATGACATGGGTGCACTTACCTACATGCAGGGAATACACACATACACATAAAATGAAAAAAAAAAAAAGCATTTTGCATGTGAAGCTTTCCCAAATGACTTTTGTCTCTCGCATTGAGCTTTGTCTCGCATTGTCAGTTTGTCTCTGACATCCAAAAGTGTTCTTATGAGAGTAACCATTTTTTTTAGTGCATGGAAATAAGATTTTCTTATTTACAGTTCTCAGAGGTTGAAATCTGCCCATTCTATTTGCGTTTATCTTGAGAGTAGGGAAGTGATTTTGGTACTTCCAGAGGGTGTTTAAATAATAACCCAGTGTCTCCTTATTTTCTTCAAGTCTGACTTTAAAGAGAATTTAAAATATTCATGGACAGATTATTTTTATAATGCTTTCACATCTATTTCATATTAGGTGAAAGAAAATATATGCATACACCAAAAATGTAATAGTTTCACCAAGATAACTTTCATGTAAAAACAGCTACCTCTAGTCTTAAAATTGTTATTATATAGATATGCCCCTGATTTTTTTCATATTTTATGATATATGTAATATATATCAAAGCACATATGTGTATATATGTCCATAAATGCTTATATTAGGTATATATAAAAACAGTAAAATGTTGTGTATAGTATTTTTTTTATTAAGGTAGAATTTACATATCTTCAAAATATTTTTATTCTTTTCTATTTTATGTGTATGAATGTATTGCTTGCATGTGTATAAGTGCACCCGTGTCATGCAATGCCCGAGGAGGTCAGAAGAGGGTGTCAGATCCCCTGGAACTGGAGTTATGGACAGCTGTTAGCTGCCATGTGGGTGCTAGGATTTGAAACCAGGTCCTCTGCAAGAACAGTCAGTGATCTTAATGAGCCATCTTTCCAGCCCTCCGTAAATTTTTATTTTTATTAGGCATAAACCTAGAAGTGGAATTCTGGGTTTTGTGTTTTTTTTTTTTTTTTTTTGGTGAACACTTTGAGGAATTCCCAGAGTGCTTTCCAAAGTGGCTGTATCACTTCAGTCTCAGCAATATCTGAAGGTTACGGTTTCTATCCTTGTTGATAGTAATATCTGGTTTTTAAAATTTTATTATTATAGTTATTATAGGGTATTTTTTTCAGTTCTGGGGATCCAACTGATGAGGGCTTTGTATTTCTGGTAAAGTGCTGTACCATCACTGAGCTACACCTCTATCCTGACCATTGTGATTTTGGTTTATATCTCTCTAATGACTAATGATGCTGAGCATCTTTCCATGTCTTTATTGGCCTTTAGTGTATTAGTTGTATATATTTTGATTTTTTTGCCCACTTTATAATTGCATTTGGATTTTACTTCCTCCCTCCCTCCCTTCCTCCCTCATTCCTTCCTCCTTCCAGCCTAGAACCATCATTGAGTAGATTAGGCTAGCCTCAAATTCATAGAGATCCACCTGCCTCTGCCTACTGAGTGCTGGGATTAAAGGCATGTGCCACCATGTCTGGCCTTGTATTTGTCTCTTTATTACTGAATTATAAGAGTTCTCTATATGTTTGGATATAAGTTCTTTATCAATATTCAGTTTACATATACTTCCTCCCATACTTACCTCATGTCTTTAAAAGTTTTTTTTTTTTTTTTTCCGGTCTTTTTGAGACAGGGTCTCCCTGTAGTCCCAGCTGTCCTGGAACTCACTATGTAGACCAGGCTGGCCTTGAACTCACAGAGCTCCACCTGCCTCTGCCTCCTGAGTGCTGGGATTAAAGGTGCACGCCACCATGCCTGGCTAAAAGTTTTTTTTTTTAATTAATTTTTTTTTATATTCTGTGTATGATTGTTATGCCTGCATGTGTAAGTTTACCCATGTCATGCAATGCCCGTGGAGACCAGAATAGGGCATCAGATCCTCTGGAACTGGAGTTATGGATGGTTGTTAGCCACTATGTGGATGCTGGGAACCTAACCCAAGTCTTCTGTAAGAGCAGCCAGTGCTCTTAACCCCTGAGCCATCTCTCTAGCCCCCTTTTCAAGTTTTTAATTGGGTCATTTCAAAGCTTAGTTTTATATTTTAAAAAATTCATTAAAAAAGATTTATTATTTTTATTTTATGTGTATGAGTGTTTTTCCTACATATATGTAAGTACACCACATGTATGCAGTGCCCATGGAGGCCAGAAGAGAGTATCAAGTTCTGGGTTGGTGACTGCCATGTATGTGCTGAGAACTGAACCCAGGTTCTCTGCAAGATCAGTATGTGTTCTTAACTGCTGAGCCACCTATCTGGCCCTTAGTTTTACGTTTTAGTGAAGTCTAATTTATATATACATACATATATGTGTATATATATAGTGTGTATATATATATACACACATACATATATTTTCTTTATCACTTGTGTTTTTGGTGGTCTAATAATGAAGAAATTGTCTAACTCCAGGTTACAAAGACCTTATGACGACAGTACACAGTGTTCCTCACTGTAGCTTTTCTAGATTTTGAATTTGGTAGTGTGTTTTCCAACTTTGTTCTTACTTTTAAAGACTGTGTGACTATTTAGGATCCCTTCTATCATATATGATCGTTTTTTAATAAAAGGTTAAATTAAGTGGTAATGCCATTTATAAAATGACTTATGAATAGCCCTTGGAAAAATGTATCAAATAATCCTGTTTAGTTTTACATTTGTGACTTATAAAATAAATAAATTTTGGCCAGTTGTGGTGGCACTTGCCTTTAATCCCAGCACTAGGGAGGCAGAGGCAGGTGAGCCTGGCTCTGGTTTACATAGGGAGTTCCAGACAAGCTACATAGTGAAATCTGTCCTTACGTACTCCCCTGAGCTTTTTCTTTACCTTCTTTCCGTTCTCTCTCACTATTTCTTGTAATGAAACTCCCTTTGGATACATCTGTTGTAAGTAGACACAATTTTGTGTGTTCAGCAGGTTATACTAAATAATTAATACTCATTGCTTTGTATTTGGGAAAATTCAACAGGTGCTAAACTCCAAATAAACTCTGCTTTTAGATATTTGAATTATGATCTAATGGAATATGACATAGTAGAAACATATATAGCATTGTAAAGTCTCGTTTTTATGATTTCAATAATAAAGTTTTTCATGCAAGTGAGTAACTCTGTTTCTTTCCTTTAGGCTATTGCATTACCTCCTATAGCCAAATGGCCATACCAGAATGGTTTTACATTTCATACCTGGCTTAGAATGGATCCTGTAAATAATATTAATGTAGATAAGGATAAACCATATTTGTATTGGTATGTATTTCTGGAATTGATTAGTGTTTATAGCTTACTTCGAAAATGAGAATATTTAGAGGTAAAAGGAAAACTTACTCTTCTTAGTTTCAGAACCAGCAAAGGCCTTGGCTATTCTGCTCATTTTGTTGGAGGCTGTTTGATTATAACATCAATAAAGTCAAAAGGAAAAGGCTTTCAGCATTGTGTGAAATATGATTTCAAGCCACAAAAGGTATGTGATCTAACCGAGTTGTAGTTATATTAAGGAGCTTTGCCAGCCTTCAGAGTGCTTTGTATCATAGTCATGTGATTTCCTATTTTACAACTTAGTTTGAACTCTTTAAAAGAGATAGTATAAACTACTGGATAATTGTTAACTTCTGTGATTTGAATCATAAATGACTGACTCATTATTTGTAGATATTAAGAGAAATACCAGAAGAAAATACCAGTAGTGATTATTTTAGTACTGTTTTCCTTTGTATCTTAAAAGTTAGAAGTTAAGCAGGGTGTGGTGGGGCACACCTTGAATCTCAGTACTCAGGAGGCAGAAGCAGGTGTATCTCTGTGAGATCAAGGCCAGCCTGGTCTATATAGTGAGTTCCAGGCCAGCCAGGGCTACAGGGAAACCCTGTCTCAAAAAACAAAAAGCAAGAAACCAAAAGAACAAAAAAAGTTAAAGATTAGTAAACAAATCATCAATAAAATGTGTAGATATGCAGGTAGGCAGATACATGAAGTAAATATGGGAAAATATTAAAATTTTAAAGAAGGTATTTTCACTAAATGTTTAACTTTTTGGCAGTGCTTTTGAAAATTTTCATAATAAAAAGTTTGAAAAATTAAGCCAGGCATGGTGGCACACTTGGTAGGCATGTGGATCTCTGTGAGTTCAAGGCCAGCCTGGTCTACATAGTGAGTTCCAGGACAGCTGGGACTACAGGGAGACACTGTCTCATAAAGACCAAAAAATAAAAATAAAAAGTTTGAAAAATTATTGATCAAATTCTCATTTGCTGAGAGCTTCCCTGAATAAATATTGTTGAAAGGTGAATGCTAGATTTAATAAAAGTACTCTAATTTAAAAAAAAATCTATCACTTTTTACTTATTATCAGTGTGGTCGTGTTATTGGGAGACTCATTATACTTTTTGCTTATTCAGTGGTACATGGTAACTATAGTGCACATCTATAACCGATGGAAGAATAGTGAGCTTCGATGCTACGTGAATGGTGAGCTTGCTTCCTATGGAGAGATAACATGGTTTGTCAACACCAGTGACGTAAGTAGTTTTGAAATGTTGACACGAAAAACTATTACTTAAAGGGGTGAAATTTACAGACAAGAAAATGTTTAAATACTTGAGTGTAAATTTTGGGAATGTGATACTGTAGTTATAATTTGTAGTTTATAGTTATAATTTGGCCAATATGTTCATTTGTTGATAGACTAGAACTTGTTGATTTGTCACATAAGGTATTATTTAGGTTTTATTGTAAATTGATAGAGATAAGGATGATTATTTCATAAATGGGTTAGATGATACATGACCATAAACTTTGCATGTAGTCCATAGCAGCTGTTGATAACTATTTTTTTTACTATGTTCTTAGGACTCAAAGGTTAAAATGAAATTAAAAAGTTACTTTTCCCCTAATAACATTCGTTTTATAGAAAACTTAAAAAGTACTCCAAGGAAAGTGGCTTCAAACTCTACCACCCACCCACCCACCATTTACACACTTTCTATCCTTTATTACACATGTGGACATGTTGAATAGTGTTAGCCTTAAGAGCTTAGGGTGTCATATCAAACACACTTAGTTTTCAAGATCCAATTCTGTCCCTTAGTGACTGTATGATCTTACTTTCCACCTGAAAATAGGTGTGAAACACAATGTATCCCAGAAAGCTGTGATGATTAAATAAGGTAAACTCTGTTAGTCTGTCTCTGTTAGCCACGTCTTTGTACTACAAAAAAGGGTTCAGAGAGAAGGCTGATTCAATAAGTCCCAAATCAAACTCACTATTTTCCTCTTGGAGCCAGAATCTTCTCTTGTATTTAGATGTTTGGCTGCTCAGCTCAGTACTGTAATGACTTCTCTAACTCCTTTTTAAAAAATTTTTTTACCACCTCATTTTCAGTAAGTTGAATTTATTATCACTTAGAAAACATGTTAATTCTTTTTTCAAGAAATTTTTCTAAATCTCCACTCTATTTCTATAAAAGAATGTTATTAGGGGGTGGGACTAAATGATATGATATCCTAAGTGAGCTATGTTACTATTTAGAGGTATTTTAGAAAGCATGTAGGGTTATTACTCTGGGAGGATATAATTGTTTTTAAACGAAACTCCTGTTTTCTTGTACAGACCTTTGACAAATGTTTCCTGGGCTCATCAGAAACAGCAGATGCAAATAGAGTATTCTGTGGTCAGATGACTGCTGTTTACCTTTTTAGTGATGCTCTTAACGCGGCTCAGATTTTTGCCATTTATCAGCTGGGCCTGGGATACAAGGTACCTCACTTACTGTCCACTGCTTTATGGTTGAATGCTCTTTGGGCTTGATTTGACAGTTGGTTGTACATGGAGAGATTTACCTTGAGTAATTATAATGTATGCCAGGGGAGTTGGGAGAACCATGGGGACATCAGAGGGGTTAAAGCGCACTTCACGTTTTGAGAGAAATGTGATATACTTGACCTGTGTCGGGCTCTGTGAAAAGTGCTGGCTCAAGTTTCAATTTTATTTCATGCTCTTAATTCTTTTGATGATGGCACTTTTTTAAAAGTTGACATAAAATTGTGCATATTTATGGGGTACCTTATGATATTTAAATACATATATTGTGTGTAATGTTTAAATCAGGAAGTGTATATCTATCTTCTCAAACATTTGCGATACTTTTCTTAAAATTTTATTATTTTTACTTTTATGTGTATGCGTGTATTGCCTGCATGTAGGTAAGTGCACCCCTACCGTGCAATGCCCGTGGAGGTCAGAAGAGGCTGTTGGATCCCTGGGACTGGAGTTATGGACAGTTGTTAGGTGCCATGTGGGTGCTGGGATTCAAACTCGGGTCTTCTGCAAGAACAACCAGTGTTCTTAACTTCTGAGCTATCACTCCAGCCCCAACATTTGCCATTCTTATGATAAAATGTTCCTAATTCTTTCTTGCTCTTTGAAATATGTACTGTTCTTATTTATAGTTATCTTGCTGTGCAAAATGCACCACAGCTTCTTTCTCTTGGCTCCCTGTAATTTAGCACCCATCACCCATCCTTTCTCCACCACCACCCCAGCCTCTGGTAACCGTCATTCTACTTTCAATTTGTGAGAGATTAACATCTTTAGAGCTCAAGTATGAGGGAGATCAGGCAGCAACTATCTGTCTGTGCCTGGGTTATTTTACTTAATATGTGTTCTCCAGGTCTGTCCATCTTACAGAAAGTGACAAAATATGATTCAGTTAATGGCCAAATAATATTTCATTATATATATTAATCACATGTTCTTTACCCATTTTATCTGTTAATGAGCACATAGTTGTTTCTGTTTCATGGCTATCATGAATAGTACTGTTTTAAATATGGAAGTATAAATGTCTCTTTGACATACTTACTGATTTCATTTTTTTGGATATATACTCAGGAATGGGATTGTTGGATCATGTAGTAGTTTAAAAACAATTTTTGGAAGAACTTTTATAGTGTTCCTTCCATCCCTTCCTGTCCGTTTAAGACAGCGTTCCATGTATTCCAAGCCAGTCTTGAACTTGGTACATAGTTGAGGCTGGGCTTGGGCTCCTTATCCTCCTGTCTCCACCTCCCAGGTTCTGGGCCTGTAGGTGTGTGCCACCACACCTGACCTCCTTGTGGCTGTAATTGTATTCTTCACTGACCAGAGACGCAGTCATTGCTTATTGGCCATTTGTGTGTCATCATACCAAGTTTTGTGAAGTTTGTCTTTTTAGTGGGTTTTGAGATTTCCATATATATTGTGTAAATAATTCTTTCCTCAGATGTATGATTTATACTTTTGTTTGTACTGGGGCGTTAACGAGGGCTTCCTACATGGTGGTGTTTCCTTTGTGTCTCTACTGAGTTTTGTTTATCAGTTAAAGGACATTGGATGGCTTCACTTTTAGGTATTATGAGAAATGCTAAAATGAACATTCATGTTCCACATGCTTTTGTGGATGCATGTTTTTACCTCATGTCCCTAATTTCTAGAGTAGAATTGCTGGGTCATACATTTGAGGAACTTCCAGATTATTTTTTAAAATAACTGCTATTTTTGTTACCATAGTAGCCTATGAGCATTCTGATTTCTCCATGTCCTCTCCTGTATGTGTTATTATCAGACTATAGCCTCCTATACTCCTAGTGGGTATCAAGTAGTATCTTGGTTTTTTTTTGGTGTGTGTGTGTATGTGTGTGTGTGTGTTTTATGCACACATGCGTAGAGGCCAAAGGAGGACCTCTCATGTCCTGCGTTATATCTTTCTGCCTTAATATCTTGTCACTGAACCTGGAGCTATACTGTTGGTCAGCAAGCACCAGTGATCAATCCTTTTATCTCTGCTTCTCCATAGTGCTGGTGTTACAACTGTAATGCAACCACACCCAGCTTTTTATCTTGGTTCTGGGGATCCAAACTCACGTTCTCATGCTTGCTTAGTAAGCACTCATGCACACTGAGGCATCTCCCTAGTCCCCCTCATAGTTTTGATTGGCAATTCTCTGATGATTAGTAATCTTGAACATCTTTTCATGTGCTTATAAGCTATTTATATATGTATCAGTTTTGGGAAAGGCCTATTCACATCCTTTGCCTGTTTTAAATTATTATTTTTTTGTTACTGAAAGAGGTTTTTTTAATTAAAAAAAATTAATTTTGTTAGAATGCACTCAAAATTTAATTACATTCATAGTGTTTATGCAGCTATTCTCCAGAACTCTTACAGTATACTTACACAAAGTAAAACAGTTATAATGTCACTGGGCTTTATGATCTTATGAACTTGGCTGTTTATTTGTTTTTATCCTGGAACTCACTTTGTAGACCAGGCTGACCTTGAACTCACAAAGATTAGCCTGCCTCTGCTGGGACTAAAGGGGTGCACCAGCATGCCCAGCTATGAACTTGTCGTTTTATATGCAGTCTGTCACTGATCAAAACATTGTTATGTGGTGTATGAATATGTAAACTAAATTTTGATACAATTGAAGGAAGAAATAGATAGCAATACAATAACAGTAGGAGACTTCAGTGCTCTACTTGAATATGGTAAGTGTAACTTGAATCAATAAGAAATAGAGGACTTGGACAGCCACATAGATCAAGTGGGTCTAACAGGCTGGTACAGAACATTCTGCTACAGCAGTATAATACACATTCTTCTTGAATGTGCGTGAAATATTCTTCAGGTCAGACCACCTGCTGGGCTATAAAAAGTGTTGACAAATTTAAGAAGATTGAAATCATTGAATATATTTTTATGACTATACTAGAATAACACTAGGAAATCTGGAAAATCTACAAGTATGTGGAAATTAAACAGCATACCCTTAAACAGTGAGTCAAAACAGATATAATAAAGGTAATTAGAAAATATCCTGAGACAAATGAAAATGAAAACAAATTAAAGCACAAAAGTGGTATCAAGAGGGAAACTCGTGGAGGTAACAGCTAACAGTATATGGAGGGATCCTCTTATTTGATACTGTTAGATTATCAGAGGTATGTTTTTAAAAATTTTTGTATTTGCTATCATTTTTGTGTGGTATGTATGTCACCTTAACTGTTTTTCTTTCTTTCTTCTCACAGGGCACATTTAAATTCAAAGCAGAAAGCGACCTTTTCCTTGCTGAGCATCATAAACTTTTATTGTATGATGGCAAACTCTCTAGTGCCATTGCATTCACATACAACCCACGGGCTACAGATGCCCAGCTGTGCCTTGAGTCATCTCCCAAGGACAATCCTTCAATTTTTGTTCATTCACCACATGCACTCATGCTCCAGGTACCAACTCAAATCTTTTAATAATATATCGAGTGGAAATTTTAATGAGTTATTGATGTTTGTTAGCTTTTATTAAACACTTAATATGCCACATTTTAGAGTTCCTATGTTTTCTGTTATGTTGTAGTTTTACTTATCTTAGAAAAGAAACCATGATACTTTCCTGTCTTTTCTGTTTTCCAAGGACGTGAAGGCAGTCTTAACACATTCCATTCAAAGTGCTATGCATTCAATTGGAGGAGTACAAGTTTTGTTCCCCCTTTTTGCACAGTTGGATTATAAGCAATATTTATCTGACGACGTTGACTTGACTATCTGGTGAGTGTTGTTAATTTTATTTTTTTTTGGTTGCTGTTTTTGAGAGAGGGTCTTGCTATTATTCCCCTCCATGGCCTGTAACTCACTATGTAGCCAGAATGACTTCAAGCTCATGATATTCCTGCCTCAGTCTCCTCAGAGCCAGGATTACAGGTATGTACCCTTGGTTGCCTTTGTTTTAGTTTTATGTGCAAGTTACTTTTTCATTGTCAGGCTTCATAGTATTTTCTTTGCCTTTCATGTTATTGTAGAGTAAAAATATTTTAAAGAAATTTGTGTAAACAGTACTACAGTTCTCAATTAGTGTTCATATAATTCTGGTTTATTGGCGTAAAAAATGGAAACTCTAAATCAGAAAATGTTGTAGAATAAAGTTAACATGATTATACTGGATTTATCAAAACTGTATGTGTTTTGTCTCGTCTAATTTAAAAAATATTTTACGTTCTTATTTGGCAGGGATTTGTTATGGTAATTTAGGTTTTAATAATTTAATTAGTTAATGTTCCATGTGTATAATTGAAAATTAAAATTTTAATGGTGTTATATGAGGGGATTTAGTCTGTTTAAAAAATTAGATGTATAGGCATATTTTATTTCCTGCACTGTAGGATTGAATCTTAAGAAAGGCAAAGGCATATGAATTCTAGGATTATAAAAACATGAGACAATAGTAAAAATGAATGAAATTTTCATGGCTGTATATGCCACTGAAAGTATATATAGGATAATAATTATGTTTCATTTATTTGAGAAGTTTAACAAACTTTCCATTATTTTTTGAAATTCTCTGTTTCTGTGCAACTTGATGGTACTACCAGTGTGGCTAATTGATGATGAAATGTTTTTCTACAGATTATTTTTAAGAAACTAAAATTCTTTTTTTCTAAACAGATATCAGTATCAAATTTAGCATTTGCCAGCTCTCTTAGTTAAATGGTTATTTTTGTGATGGGGGCTTGCTGTGTTGTCCAACATGGCCTCAAACTTAGGAACCTCCTGCTACTGTAGCCTGTTGAGTAGCTGGGATGACAGACATGCACTACTGTACTTGGTGTGCTAACTGTACTTTAAAATATTGAATCACCCTTGACACAGCAGTAGGTTATACAATACTGTTGTGCCTGCTTTAGTAAGAATCAGTTCTTTTTTCTTTCCTTTCCCTCATCTTTTCAGTACTTTCATTGGGATAGTAGCCACAGCTCTGCTATGGAGGAGGGGTGCCTTCCAACCTTGCTGTGTTTGAGACTCTTAAGAGCCATTGAAAAGGCCAGAATAGCTGATCGTATTTCTTTCCCTTTTGAGTGTCTCTAAATATTGTGGGTAGTGGAGAATGATTTCCAGCCCTTGTTCACTTTAAAAAGTCTTCAAAAGCCGGGTGTGGTGGCGCACACCCTTGATCCCAGCACTCGTGAGGCAGAGGCAGGTGGATGCCTCTATGAGTTCAAGGCCAGCCTGGTCTACATAGTAAGGTCCAGGTCAGCTGGGGCTACAGGGAGACCCTGTCTCAAAAAGACCAAGAAAACAACAACAACAACAGCAACAACAACAACAACAACAAGAAACTCTTCAAGACTGGATAATTATGATTGGCACTTTTTTTTGTTATTTATTATTTTAATTTTATGTGTATGAATGTATTGCCTGCATGTGTATAAGTGCACCTGTGTCGTGTAACGCCTGCGGAGGATAGATGAGGGAGTTAGATGCCCTGGAACTAGAGTTATGGATAGCTGTTAGCTGCCATGTAGGTGCTGGGAATCAAACCTGGGTCTACTGCAAGAGCAGCCAATGCTCTTAACCATTGAGCCATCTCTCCAGCCTCAGGAACACACTTTTTCAAATTAATATTTATTTTTATTACAAATATTTCTATCATTTTCATGTGTATGAGTGTATTGCTTACATATAGGTAGGTACATTACTATTTATTTTTATTTTATGTGTATGAATGTTTTGCCTGCATGTATTTAAGTGCACAGTGTGAGTGCCTGGTGCCACAGAGGCCAGAAGAAAGCTTCAGATCCCCTGGAACTGGAATTATAGATGCATGTGAGTTGCTATGTGGGTGGGAATTGAACCTGGGCTCTCTGCAGGGGCAGCATTTGGTCTTAATTGCTGAGCCATCTCTCCATCTCCAGAATAAACTTCTTAAATTAGTGTTCCAAGACTTCAAGTTTGTGTCCAGTTTAACTTTTTGTTATTGTTGTTGTTTGGTCTTCTTGAGACAGGCTGTCCCTGTAGCCCCAGTAGGCCTGAAATTTGCTACCCAGATCAAGCTGGTCTCCATCTCACAGAGTGCTGCGATTAAAGGCATTAGCCACCACGCCTAGCCAAGTTAGCTTTTTTATCTTCCCTTCATATACCCTGTACTCGTTTGCACTTGGCCAGTCTGGAACCCCAGCAGGTTTTAAGGGTTTAAATCAGAGTTTGTTTACCCTTCTTTTTTTCCCCTTTGGTCCCTAAGTCATAAGAATTGAATATACTTGATTAGTTTAAGACACATCTACTCTTTAAGATCCTAATATACTTTTATTAGGCATGTCTAATCATTTTTAGACATTGTTCATTTTTTCTTTGTAGTGCATGTTTGTCATACTGTTTCTAGGTTACTAATGTTTTGATAAATTATATAAAATAAGTATTCCAGTGACTCTTAATTCTGCATTATATACTTTGTTCTGAAATAATTTTGGAGATAGCTTTAGTAGAAGTGATTGAGCGTAGAGAGAGCCTCACATGTGCCAGGTACGTACTCTGCCCTGACACAATCCTGCCCTGAAGTGGAGAACCTTTTGATTAAGGTAAATACAAGACTATACGTATCCAACTTAATATTTTCTTGTAGAATATTCTTTCTCAAACCCTTGCCTTTTGTCTTATTCTAGTACGACCTTGCTGGCTTTTATCATGGAGTTGCTGAAGAACTCAATTGCTATGCAGGAGCAGATGCTTGCCTGTAAGGGCTTCTTGGTAATAGGATATAGCCTTGAAAAGGTAAAGTAGAAATATTTTAAGATTTTGATTCATAATTTGCAGGTCATATACATACTTGCTCTTCTGAGTGGTTAAGAAATTCTGTCTACAGCTACATCTCCTTGTAAAAGTGACTTAAATTAAATAACATTCTGTTTTACCTTTCCTCTGATCTTCTATTAAAGAAGCGTGGTAGTGAGCCTCATGCCATCTTTAACTTTTACTATAGTTTGTGGGACAACTTCTTTTTTTGGCTTTGACAGCTTGTAATTTACTTACCTTCCTTTGAATTAGTAGTAACCTTTAAACTACTTTTTTTTCAGTCTTCCAAATCCCATGTCAGCCGAGCAGTACTTGAACTTTGCCTTGCTTTTTCTAAATATTTGAGCAATCTGCAGAATGGGATGCCTCTCCTAAAGCAGTTGTGCGATCACATTCTTCTGAACCCCGCCATATGGATTCACACTCCAGCCAAGGTGATACATACTGGTCTCATTTGATTATCTTTGTGCCCGAGAAAAGTGACAGTTGTGAGAGTTTCCTTTTATCCTTCTATAGATTGATCTGTAAGGTTCAATGGCTACTTTTTTTTTTTTTTTTTTTTGACTACGCATCCTTTTTTGCTTTTCAGGAAAATTTGCAAGTCAATATATTTCTTTTTCTTTTTGATAAAACAATAGAACTATGGTCTCATTTTCCTGTGTTAAATTAAGGTTTTGAGAGGGATTTTGTTTACTAAATCAAAAGAGGACAATTCCAGTGTAAATATCTTTTCTAGAAACGTCATTCCATAGCCTAGCTTCTGAGCTTTCTCCAAGGAGTCTGCCTCTGTATATACTTTTGATTCACCCAGTATGATAAATTCTTGGGTTTCATTCTTACACACACAGCTGAAATGCCGCCTTTTCATTGAAGGCATACTATACTGGTCTCATTTAATTATTTAAGTTTTATATTAAATTAAATTATAGAAACTTGGGGGCTGGAGAGATGGCTCAATGATTAAGAGCACTGACTTCTTTTGCAGAGGTCCCAGGTTTGATTCCTAGAACTCACATGGTAGCTAACAACTGTCTATAACTTCAGTCCTTTTCTGGCCTCTGTGAGCATTGCTCATACATGGTGCACTTAGCATGCAGGCAAAGCATACACGTATATAAAACAAAAATTAAAAAATCAGAAAATTTAATAGGCTGGACATGGTGGCGTACACATTTAGTCCCAGCCCTCAGGAGGCAGAAGCAGGCAGATCTCTGAGTTCAAGGCCAGCCTCGTCTATATAGCGAGTTCCAGTCCAGCTGGGACTACAGGGAGACCCTGTCTCAAAAAGACTAAAAAAAAATTTGAAAATTTAAATATTATAGAAAATTATTATATTTGTGCCAAATAAATTTGTAGTACTTGGACAACAAACTCATTACTCCTACTGTGTGAACATAAATGAATTTATTAAATGAATTATTTTGTTTGTGAACAAAATCCTCAACAAACTCTGCTGTTAAACTGTTCTAAAACCTAGTAGTGGGGATATTATGTATACCTTGAAGTAGAGACAGTTTTTGTTAAGTTGTATAATTATACCCATCTTACCTACAACCTTTGTTAGAAATGTTGTTTCAGCCCATGCTGTGCCTGCCCCCTGCCCCCCCTTGTTGCCCACTTGCTGTGTCTGTCGTTGTTAGGATGGAATAGCACATACTTATTCTGGTTGTCAGGAAAAAGTGTGTGCAGACTTTTTTGCTTTTCTAGAGTCATAATATCTTATTTTCAGCTGGTCTTTTCAAATGTTAAAGAGAAACACAGCTGCTGACTCTGATTGCCATTTGGAAATAATCAGAGGAGGCAGCTGGAGGTTGTAGCTTTTTATCTCTAGGTTAAATATGACCTCTTTCTCTTTCATGACCCTCAGTCTTATTTCTTTTCAAGGATTGTTTCAAGTTACTTTAAAAATCCTTTACTAGACATTTGTTGTCTTACTAACCAACATATTTGTAAGGCGTTGTGTCTCTTTTGAAGTTGTCAGAAAGCCTCTTATTACGTACTTAGTTGTAGAAGAATGTTTTTTATTTTAAATCTCATTATATGATTTCTTCAGGCCCGTAATATTATTACACTTTCTTACCTTATGCTTCTTAATAACTTTTCTTAATTTCCTTTTTAGAATTTGCAGTTGATTTGATATTAAAATTTGCTTTTGTGTCAAGTGTCTGTTTTGTATATCCATGAGGAATTTTATTTGTTCTTACTTTATAATAAAGGCAGTTATAACATAGGGTAGATCCATATTTTGTTTGACTGGCATATCATATAATTTGCAGGGCGAGAGGAAGCTCTTTTAAGAAAGAGTACAATATAGTGTGTACAAAACTAGGGTTGAAGTCTTGGAAGGAGCCTGTTAGTGTCATTAGTTTCTTGGTAAATCCACCTTTAGTTCCTGAAGTCAGGGGTATGGATGAATGAATTAGCCTTTGCTTTTGGAAAAGGGAATGAGCATTTATTTGTTATTTTCATTTATCTTAGATCTGCTCAGAGATAGTCTTTATAATAGCCTAGTAGGAGCTATTGACTTTCTTGTCTGCAGTGGTCCTTTGTTTACTGGAACAGTGTTTGTGAAGTGACTGCTTCATGCTAGGCACTATAAGCAGAGTAGAGAACAAGGCACTCTTAATTCCTGTACCCACAGATTTTAGATATAGTGGGAAAGATTATATAATGAGTGGATGAAGGGCAGACAGTAGGTCTTGACTTTACATGTGGCTATTAAATCCTATATATTTTTATTTACATAGTATCTGTTCTAGTTAGCTTTTTATTGTTGTGCTAAAACACTCTGACCAAGAGTAACTTGGGGAGAGAAAGGTTTATTTGGCTTATAGCTCATGGGCCACCTACCCATGAACTGTCCCACATCACTCAACATAAAGGACATGCCCACAGGCCAGTTGGACAGAGGAAATTCCCCAGTTGAGGTTCCCTTTTCCCAGGTGTGTCAACAACTGAAACTATCCAGCACAGTATTAGTCTTTTTAATGATACTGATTCGTTGAGATTTCATACAATGCATTTTGATCATATTCAACCCCTATCTCCCATCTTCTTTCTGATTCACCTCATCTCCCTACCCCTGCTGATGTCCTCTATTTTTTTGTTAAAGCCCACGGAGTACAAACTGTGTTTTCCAAATAGTGTTGGGTGTGGGTCCATCCCCTGGAGCACGGTCAACATATCTGTGGTCACACCCTTAAAGAAATCTGACTCTTCCTCTCCCAGCAACTAATTGCCAGTAGTTTCTCAGCTAGGGGTGGGTCTTTGTACCCACTTCCCCACTCCATGATGAGATTTTGTCTGGCTTGGTCTTGCCCAGGTCTTGTGTATGTTGTTACAACCACTATGGGTTCCTATGTGCATCTGCTTTGTTTTTTTTCTGGAAAACACTATTATGTTGTAATCATCACAGTTTCCTTATATTCATCCACCACTTCTAGCTCTTAAAAATGTTTCCACTCCTTCTCCCTTAAAGCTTCCTGAGCCTTTGGGGAGGGATGTGATATAGATATCCCATTTAGGGTTGAGCATTCTGCAGTTTCTTATTTTCTATATGTAGACCAGTTGCGGGTCTCTATGATAATCTCCAACTGCTGCAAAAAGGAGCTTCTCTGATGAAAGTTGAGTGATATCTATGTGTATATTGATGTCATTAGGAATCAGTTTAATACTATGTGTATTTAGCAGGATAGCAATAATAGATTCTCCCCTAAAGCCTGTGACCTGTGTAGCCACAGCATCTTGGCCCTGATAACAGTGGTGGATATGGGTTATGTCTTGGGAAGCAGGCTTTAATTTTTATTGATTTTTATTTTATGTGTATGAATGTTATACGTGCATGTATATAAGTGCATCTGTGTTGTGCAGTGCCTGAGGAGGACAGAAGAGGGCATCAGATCCCCTGGAACTGGAGTTATGGATAGTTGTTAGCACCATGTGGGTGCTGGAATTCGAACCCTGGTTGGAAAGTGGGCTTTAAACTCAACCAGAAAGTGATTGGTTACTCCCATAATATTTGTGCCACTAATTGCACTAGTGGGCATATCTTGACAGGCCAGTCATTATTGTAGCTGGCAGAGTTCACAGCTGGGTAAGGTACTTTTCTCTTCTGGTAGTGTGCCTAGCACCCACCAGAACTATGAAAGCTAGCTAGTAGAGATGGAGCTTTGAGGTCAGTATCAGTTTGATTCCTCCATGTTCTACAATTCAAGTATTTAGTGTCTTCAGCAATAGGGTCCAGTTCTGGAGGGCAACCAATAGCAGTGGCAATAGCCAGTAATATTTGAAGGTCTGTAGGACTTCCCCTTGCCAACAACTCCTAAAGAGGGAGCCCATTCCTGGCATTGGGCTTTTTATTTGTTAGCTAGTACTGTCTTGTAGGGGCATTGTCCCTCTTTATAGGATAACTCCATTTAACTCTTTTTTTAAAGTACATGTATATGGTTATGTTTTAGGAAGCTTCTACAGTAGTAGGTTTCCATATGGCTTTTTCAAAAGATCTTTAATATTATCCTTCCCCACACACCCTCTTTTTCTCTTACCCTTCCATCTCCCACCCCATTTAACCCTTCTTGTTCGTTATTCCCCTTTCCTTCTTTATATTAGTATCATTCTCAATAATCTGACTATTCTAGTTTGCTTTCAATTGCTGTGACAATACACTCTGACCAATACTAACTTGGGGAGGAAAGGGTTTACTTGTCTTACATCTCCCAGGTCACAGTTCATCTGTGAGGGAGCCCAAGGTAGGAACTCAGGGCAGGAACCTGGAGGCAGGAGCTGAAGCACAGGCCATGAAAGAATGCTGCTTACTGCTTTGCTCCCCTGGCCAGTGCTCAGCTTTCTTCTACAATGCAGAACAACCTGCCCAGGGGTGGCACCACCCACAGTAGGCGGGGCCCTCCCACTTCAACACCAATCTAGCCTTGAACTCATGATCCTCTTACTTTGTCTCCTGATTTCTGGGTTTATAGATGTCCACCACCACACTGGGCTTCCCTTATGCTCCCAACATACTGTTCTCATCTTAGTACCCCCTCACCCCAACTTTAGTTTCCCCTTATTACCAGAGTGAGGTAGTCAGTAACTAGCTTGAAGCCTTCCTGTTAGTTTTAGTTTTTGTAATTGAGAAACTCATATCCTCAGTAGGTAGGCAGGTACCAAAAGATCTCAATCTTGGCTGCTGATAGAATCACTTGAGGAAAGATTTAAAAAACAGAAATGTAGCTGAGTGTGGTGGCGCCCGCCTTTGATCCCAGCACTCGGGAGGCAGAGGCAGGCGGATCCTTGTGAGTTCAAGGGCAGCCTGGTCTACATAGTGAGTTCAGGTCAGCTGGGACTACAGGGAGTCCCTGTCTCAAAAAGACACACACACACACACACACACACACATACACACACACACACAAATAAATAAATAAAATAAAAAAATAAAGATAAAAACTCAGAAATGTAGCTGGGCGTGCTGCTGTGTGGCTTTGATCCCAGCATTCAGGAGGCAGAGGCAGATGGATCTCTCTGAGATCTAGTCCAGCCTGGTCTACATAGCAAGTTCTGGGCCAGCTGGGGCTATAGGGAGACCCTGCCTCAAAAAAACAGAACAACAGAATCCTCCATCTTCCCCAGATTTTTATTTCATTAGTCTGAGGTATGACTAATACTTCATATTTTAAAAAATTTTTTTGATTTCTTTTTATTTTATGTGTATGAGTGTTTTGTCTATGTGTATGCTAGATTTAAACTTACTCATTTTATAAAATAGATCCAGTAGTCAGAAAATGAAAAGTTTCTGATTTTATCATGAGAGTAGACCAAAAATAGTCCTGATTTGGTATTGCTTTAAGCATTGGAATGATTTTTAGAGTCATGATATCAATGAAAGCTTGTATGCAGATGAAGTGTGTGTGGTTTTTCCTATGTTATATCAAGGGCTTGTATTTCAAGTTAATATGAACATCTATAAGTTTTTATGCTTACTCATTTGAATCATTCCAGCTTCTCATTTTCTTTCATTAAATCTCTGTGTGCATGTATGTCAGTGTGTGTGCATGTTTGTGTGTGGGTGTGGGTGTGCATATGCTGTGGTGCACGTGTGGCAATAGAGGATAGCCTTGGGTGTTGGTCCTCACCTTTCCCCTTCTTTAAGATGGTCTCTTACTCACCACTACCCATGCCAGGCTAGCTGGCTTTCGAGCATCCAGGGATTCGCCTGTCTCTGCATCCCATTTCATTGTAGGAGTGCTGAGACTCTAAACTTCTCATGCTGTGTGCCAAGTGCTTTACCCACTGAGCCATTTTCCCAGCTCTGCTTCTAATTTTTTGTGAAATACAGAAAACGTCTATCTTTAAACAATTATGCAAAGCAAAATTTATTATAATGAAATTATACATGCTAGTGAAAAATTGATGACTGCTAAGTAGAAAGAAAAGAATTATTTTCATTGAATAATATAGTAAAAATGTGAAATATTGGGAGATATTTACTTTATAAAGAGTGTGTGTGTGCATGCACACTTGTGTGTCAGTGTGTTTTGTTGTCTTGATATGTTGTCATCAAACTCAGCATCTTACTTTTTGGAGTAAGTATAGTGCAAATAAAGCAGCCTGAGGGTATTTTTGGAAACAGAGTGATTGCTGATGAGTTTCTTTGACTGTGCTCTTCATTTTGGTTGTATAGGTTCAGCTGATGCTGTATACTTACCTGTCCACTGAATTCATTGGTACAGTCAACATATATAACACTATTCGGAGAGTTGCAACCGTACTTCTCATCATGCACACACTGAAGTACTACTACTGGGCAGTGAATCCTCAGGACCGAAGTGGTATCACCCCCAAAGGATTAGGTATAATTGTGCTGTCTGTGTATTACATATAGTAAACTAGGAATTAAAAAAGAATCAGATCATATATTATTTGGGCAGTTTTTTCCAGATCTCATTATGATAAAGTTTTACTACAATATCATTAATAACTTTAATAGTTTGTTATAGAATATGGTTTCCAGAGGACAATAATGTGTTATTGTTGTGGAACAATGTTATATATGCTTGGATAAGTTGTTTGAGAAGCAAATATTATTAGGATAGTTGTAACATACTGCAACTGAGAAAGAAAATTTAGTTTACTGGTATTGGTGTTGAGATGATCATAGTAGATTCACTGAAAACAGTGCTTTGAGGAGATAGGGATTTTGAACAGATGTAGGAGATACCTGTTTCTAATAAACATATATTGAAATTATAAAATTTTAGTAATTATTTTCTTTCATACTCAGGAAGAACTTTTTACATGGGTAATATTCATTCAGCATGTTAGTAGCTCATGGAAGGGATCAAAGAGATTAAAACTATTTAAGTTCGTAAAACCTGTTTCAAACTGGCTTGCGTTGAAAGAGTTAATCAGCTGATACAAAGTGGCAGTTTCAGGTACAACTCAGTGCAGGTGTTCAGAATATGGTTATAGCACCTAATTTGTCTCTCCATATTGACTAGCTTTTCTGAGTTGGGTGTTTTCAGATGTTCTCTCCCTTTGTAGTAGTAAGAAGCCAGTCCACCTTCACATCTCACAATTGTCAATCTGTCAAAAGAGTGTCTTCCTGTGTCAAGTATTTTCAACAGAAGTCTCTTTGGGTCTCTGTGCTGCTCACTGGCTTGGGTGATCACATGCCTGTCTCTGTGGCAGTTCTTGCAGTGATAGACCACACTTGCAGGTGTCTGTACCTTTAAACACATAGAGAGAGTATATTCTGGCCCTTGATACAATTGAGAACTATTGCTTCAGATTAGGAAATAGATGCTTGGGAGCCAAACAATGTACATTTTCATTATAGTAAAAGGCTTTGACTTTTCAGTGATTTATAAAGAAAGGTTTTGCACTTTTAGGCTACTTTATGTAACCTTCAAAATAAATTCCATTTGTTCTCAGGGATTATGTATCTGTACTTAAGGAAGTGGCACAAGGATAGGAAGAAACTGTATGATATTTTAAGCTGGCACGTCCATGGCAGACCTGAACTTCTGTTGGCAATTTTATGGTGTTCTAAGAGTTTCATGCACTTTCTGAATGCTAGTTTTTCCTGGTCTTCATTTTACAAGTCACCAGTAACTTTGAGGAAATCTAGTTCAGATGAGGGAGCTGGAAAAATTTTTGTAATTCTCTTCTCTTTATCCTGCTCTTGGTCTAGAATTATCATGTGGAACAAATTTTACACAATTTTCTTCCTATTTTAATTGATCTGTTCAGGGTCATGGTGGTCCTGTGCTTTGGTGGTCTGTGCACTAGTTAGTTGTAAATAGTGATTACTGGGAGAAAATTATAGAATATATGAGGCCAACAGGTACCTAACTGCAGATCTTAGAACAATAGTTATTTGGTTTCAAATGTTTTGTACTTGGGAATTATATGTTTGAGACATGAAAATTGACTTAATGTGAGCCATGTGTGACCAAGGACTTTTCTAAGCACAGGATATGTCAGAGGTAGTGAGCATTATGATTCCCTTCTTCACAAATAGTATTGTGTGTTGAAGTATGCTTTCAAGGTTTTTGTATGAGCGTACAAGGGGCATCAATAGAAAATGTTGTTTTCATACCCAATTTGCATAATAAAATTGTTGCTCAAACTTTAGAATTTTTTCTTGTAAGCTTCTGTTGTCTTAGTACTATATAGTGTAAGAGCAAAATGCAATGTACTATTATTGAATACAAATTTTACTTTTTATCATATTTTTGTTTAGAAATCCTGTAGCCTATTTAGATATGAACTTTTAAAAAGTGTAATTTTTGACAGTTTCATCTTCATTTCTACAATGGTCATGTTCTCTCTCTGTTGCTCTCCCTTCCTCCTTCCACTCCTGCTGACTCGCTGCTTCTTCCTAAATAGTTCCTCTCCTGCTTTCGTGTCTGTGTGTGCACGCCTTGTGTAGGTCGCCCCAGTTGCCGTGTGTGTGATTCCAAAAGCTATGTCATATCCAGCAAACAATATGACCTACTTTGTGTATTTGGAGTCATTTGAAAATGAGATCGAATGCATGTCTTTAAGAGGCATAAAAAGGGAGGCCACTCTTTAGAAGACTGACTTTTATGTTTCTTACAGTAAATAGAAAAGCTATTGGAAATGAGTATTTTGTACTTAATATAGCCTTGAGATCTTTGAAATACTAATTATGTGTGTTTTTAAAGATGGACCACGACCTAATCAAAAAGAAATACTTTCTCTACGAGCATTCTTACTGATGTTCATTAAGCAATTAGTGATGAAGGTAAGTTCTTTTCTTCGTCTACATTATGCTGTGTGTTGTAGCCAACAATTTCACATAAAATATAGTCTTAGTTTCTTTGTTCTTTGCCAGTAAGGTTAAACAGAATTTTTTTTGATACTTATTTTGTTGTCAGATTATTATTAGGTATACATAGATATAAATTACTGCAGGATTGGAGATTGGCAGTTTTAATATGTCATATGAATTTCTATGATAACTCAGGAGTATTAATTCTTTCACTTAGCACCTACTTAAGAATCCTTGTTATATATTCAGTTCTGCTCTTGGCACTGTGATACAGTAGTCAACAAAGCTGCTAAACTAGTTTTCGTTTTTAGGTTCTTCTTATACTTGGCATTCAGACTTTGAGAAAAAGTATTCTTGCATAAATATACAACAAACATAGGTTTATCATCCTTTAGAAATCACATTTTATCCCTCTTCATTATAAGTAAAGCAAAGTTTATTTTTTTGGAGAAAGCATTTTGATTTTATAAGATTGCAATCTATAGATGTTTTTTGTTTCCAATATTTCATTCATTGTTCACTTTTCCCCCCCTCTTTGAGATAGGGTCTCTTGTAGCCCAGGCTGACCTTGAGCTCACTATGTCCTCGATGACCTTGAACTCTGATCCTCCTGCCCCACTTCCCAAGTGCTAGGATCACAGGTGTGCACCACTATGTCTGACTCATTCAGTATTTACTTTTTTCCCCTTTTGAGACAGCGTTTCTCTGTAGCCTCAGCTGGCTTGGAACTCACTGTGGATACCAGGTTGGCCTGGATCTCACAGAGGCTAAAGGCTGGGACTAAAGGTGTGCACCACCATGCCAAGCTTCAGTATTTTCTTCTATTATTTTATCCCTTATTCTTTATGCTATGCTGCCTTATAGCTGTCAAATTAAGATTATGGCAAGAGACCTGCCCTTTGATTTCTATACAGTCTTCTAGACTCTATATCTTTTATACCTCCTGAAATTTTTATTTTAAATTTAGATTTTGTGATATTAGATTTATAGCAGCTGACCAACTTGACAAATCTATGTATGGTTTCTGTTTTAAAAAATGATTTTCATATGTAAGCCTAAGATACATATATTATGTTTCTGAAGGATTCTGGAGTAAAGGAAGATGAACTACAGGCCATTCTTAATTACCTGCTGACTATGCATGAGGTAATGCTTGCATTTCAGATTTGGGGGTTTTATTTTTTCAGCCTACATTATTAATGTTTTAAAAAAGCAAGAGCACTAAAGAAGTCTTTACCAAGCATATCACTGTCATGGAAAACACATGTTTATTTAGGTATATTAGTAAATCTTCATGTAAATATCGTTTATTGCCACAGGATGGCTCTGAGAGTAATCATGAAAGATTTTAAGAGGTGCTAAAATTGTATTTCATTGAGTTAATAATAAAGTATACTAAAGTCGGAAACTAATGAAACAAAGGGAAAGTATGTTTGAAAATGGCTAAAATGGTTGGATTTTAAATTTATAGCACATTCTTCCCACTGAATTTTGAGTCTTCAGATGTTCATATAGGCAAGTCATTTGTCATGGAATTTGAAATTGTTTGGTTGAAAGAGAAGTTGACAACTAAATAGGCTCGGCCGTCCCTTTTGTCTTTCATTTTTAGCACCGAAAGTGGAATGTCTGCCAGGTGTAATCTAGCTAATCTGATTAAAGTGTAAATAGGTAAAATTTATAAATTGATGGAATATCATGTCAAAACATTTAAAATGATAGTTTGTATTCCAATATTACAATTAATGTCTTGGGAATTAATACTGTAATGTGGAATAGTAGCTTCTTTAGTTATTAATACTTGAGAATTATTGATTACACTTATCTATTGTTAATTGAGACAAAAATAAGTGAGTTTTATTAATTGGATTGTATTTGGATACAAATCATAAATGAGGAGGCTGGAGAGATGGCTCAGTGGTAGGAGCACTGACTGCTCTTGTAGAGGACCCAGGTTTGAGTCCCAGAACCCATATGGCAGCTAGCAACTGTCTATAACTCCAGTTCTAGGGCAATTCAAAACCCTCTTCTGCCCTTCTTGGGAATTACACCAGTGTACTTACATACATTCAGTCAATACACTTTACATATAATAAAATAAAATAAAATATTAAAAAAACAAAAAACCTTATAAATTATTAGGATTTATTTTCTTCCTGAATACTGTGTTCTGTTCTAGATTTCCTTGGTAAATATAGTAGACAGATTTTCATTTGAAATTTCTACTAATATTATTTGTGCTTTTTGTCTTTTATTAACTCACAGGGAGTAAATTAGGTACATCATAAAAGATAAGTTGGAAGTCACACTGGTTTTCCTGTTTTCTCTCAGTTTGCTAATTTAGTAATCTTTCAGATTCTTCATATAACATTTTGCCAAAGGCACAACCCTAGCTTTAGATAATCTACTTAACTTACCAAAACTTAGGCACACAGTTAACTTTCATAGAAACTATTCACATGCATGGCAACCAAATTAATTGACATGTGGTAGTTGCTCCCTGGTTAGTTGGCCCTAGAGATGTGCATGCATAGCTTAATATTCAACAGAGACTGAAGGATTTTCCTGAAGATATATTGAAGTCCAGATCTTAAAACATGTTCCTGTGCTGATGTTCTGTAAACAGTGCTAAATTGTCTATGTACACTCCTCAATAAACATTTATACTCAATATAAAAAAATAAATGTGTATGCTCAATAAACATTTCGGGATCACCATAATCTTTGATATATACCACTATTGTATAAGAGCTACTTATTATTGTTTGCCAGAAATTTTTTTCAGAACCGGTTTCTTGAGAGGCACAGTGAACAAAATATTCTAGGCTAAATGTATTTATACAAATTATTTATAACCTGTTGTCTCTACCTCTGTCACCATACTCAAAATATTTATTAGCATATTAAAGGCTCTGCTGTGTCTTTTTGTAATAAAAATAATTTGTTTCACTTCTTTCTCAATTTCTTGACATGTACATCTTCCTCAGAACAACAATAACACCAATCACTATTAAGTCAGATACAGTATTTTTATACAATATGCTTCAGGGATATCTTGTTTATTAGTATAACACAAAAGCCATTTTATCACAATGATTAAGAAATTCTCTGTGGCTAGAGAGATGACTCAGCAGTAAAGAAAACTTGTTGATCTTTCAGAGGACTGGGGTTCGATTCCCAACACCCAATGGCAGCTAACAACCATCTGTAACTCCAGTTCCAGACGATCTGATACCCTCTTCTGGCATCTGTGGGGTATTGCATGCACTTGGTGCACTTACATACATGCAGACAAAACATTCATATACATAAAGTAAAAATAATAAAAAATTAAAAGAAATTCTCTCATGGGCTGAAGAGATGATTTAGTGGTTAAGATCACTTGCAGAGGACTGGAGTTTTGTTCTAGTACCCATATCAGGTGTCTCACAGGTACCCATAACTCCAGCTCTAGGGGACCTGACACCCTCTTGTGGTCCCCGTAGGCACCTGTGCAGTTGTATGAGTGCACTAGTGTGCACATACATCCAGAAAGACACATGTGCATGTGCATACACTTAAAAAACTTAAAAAAAATCTCTACCTATTTTATGATGTATATTTTGAATATGCAGATGAATATGCATAAAGAACAGTTTGTATAAAGAAAATATGTATTATAGATTTATTTAAAACAAATTTATATTGTTTCAGAAGTATTCAATATGCAGAGAGTTGATTTGTCTTTGTTTTTGTTTTTAAATTTCTAAAATAATTCCAGGATGACAACCTAATGGATGTCCTGCAGCTGCTTGTTGCATTAATGGCAGAGCACCCTAACTCTATGACATCTGCATTTGACCAGAGGAATGGGTTACGGTAAGAGTTAATATATCAGGAGTTCTAATTATACCCAATAGAAAGCATTGCTTTGGAAATTCTAGAAAGATTCTTAAATATGAAAAGTGTCATTTAATCCTAGATTATAAAACAAGGTTATGGCAGGAAACAGTTTAAGAGTTTAAACCTATTTATTGCATGACATTTTGTTAAATTATAGAGGTCGTGTTAGTACTCTTTATTTTCCAAATATATTATTAAATAGAACTGTTTATCTAGGAGGATACCTTGTTAATTAATTCTGTTTTTTTTTTTTTTTTAGACACT